ATTTCTTCCTTCTCTCCAAAGAGTATACAAACACTGAAACCTCCCCAAGAGGTGATGAGGCCCCTGGAATTATTCCTGAAAGAAACACTCTCAGAATTGTCCTGGTGTTTGTGGTGGCTTTTATTGCTGGAGGTAGAAGTTGGGTTGTCAGGGGGCTCCAAAAGGTCAGGGAGCCTTGAGGACAGAAACCCTAAATTGCAGGATCCAGGGGCTGGGCCTTGGGGTCTCTCCATTCGTTCCTTTCCGAAGCTGCCAGATCTTCAATTGCCTTAAAGGGGCGGCTCCTGCAAAACTGAACTTCCTGCACCTCTTCCCAGGCTTGACCTCTCCCTTCCTCACTGTGGCCCGGCCTCCACCCACAGAAAAACTACAGTTCATGCTGGCTGCAGACCAAACCCTTCCCCAAGGCCAGCCCCCTCACAGGGGAGCCCTCTGATAGGAAGAACAATTAGCTTTGGACTCATTTTGTCGTAAGTTTAAATCCCAGGTCAGCCACTACCTGGGTTTTACAAGTTACTTTTGCTCCCTTAGCCTCAGTTTTCTCGTCTGTAAAATGGGAGAGAACAATACCGGTGTGGCAAAAGTAGGTTTACAGTTATGCATACTCGAAACACAGTTTACTTATTAATTATTGCATTATTTTCCATATAGACAACTGTAAGCCTACTCTTGCTCCCACTTTAGCCCCACTCTGTCATTTGTGGTGAACTCAAGCCCCTTCTCCTGGATTTCCCGTCCTAGCAACAGACAACACAATTTGCTTAGTTGCTGAAACCAGTAGCCTGTCTTTCTAGACCCTTCTCCCCCATCTTCACGCTCCACAGCCAAGCAGAGAGCACTACACAATTTTGAAATCCATCCCCCTGGCCCTCCCCTTAACCCAGGCCACTCTCACTCCAGCCTGGCTACGGCAGTAACCCCCTCAAGCCTGCATGCCTCATCGTCCTCCCCATCCCTAGACTGTTCTCTACCCTGCAGCCTGAGGGAACTTTCTAAATAGAGCACAACTCTTATCTCTTCATTCCCCTTCATTTTAATCCTCCCGTGGCTCCCATTGCCTGAATGAAGTGTCCAAAATTATTCATTTGACTCTGAGGTTCCTTGGATGATCCGGCCCTGTTCCCCTTTTCCATTACATTCCTCAGCACCTTACACCTGTAAACACAGACATTCTGCAGCCCAGTGCTGCACTAGCTCACCCCCAGCCCGTGCACATGCGCACACCAGCCTGGGGCACTCTCCTCACCACCACTGGCCTCTCCTTCATGCTTCTAATTGTCCTTAAATCCTCAGCTCAGACATCGGCCTCCTCCAGAAACCCTCCCTGCCATCCCTCCTGTGAGCTCTCAGTACCTGACTCCCGTCACACCACACATCACATTATATGACAACTGGCTCTTTGCTTTTCCAGCTCCTCCCAGGAGGCAGAGACTGTATGTGTCTTGTTTACTGCTCTTTCCCCCAGCACCCAGCAGAGGTCTTGCCCTGAATAGGTGCTCAAGAAATATTTTTTGAAATAATGAAGGAAAAACTATAGCTAAAGCTCCTAGCACATTGACTAGCACAAAGTGGGAATGCATAGCATCAGCATGTCATGGTTCATCCCCACACTGAGCACATCTCTCCAATGGAAACACAATTCAAAAGTCAGGTCCTGCCAACAGGGGGTGAAATGGTGTGACAGCCCTGGTGTGGGGATGTTTGTCCGACCCTCCCTTCCCCCTGCCCAGTGATGTGGATTGATCTGTCCCTACCCAACCCCTGGCCCTCACCCGGACTCGGGCCTCTGTGCCCACCCCCACCGCAGGCAGGGAAGGAATGTCCCCTCGCCCTCTCCTGACAATTGGTCTCTAACCACAGCCAGTGACTGCTCCTTGTTCTGGAGGGGTCCCTCTCACCTGCAGCACCATTGCCCAGGGCAGGTTGGGAAAAGGACCCCTGATAGGTGCCCTCAGCTTGCCATACCACCACCAGCAGCCTCCCCTCTGGAGATGGCCCAGGACTGGAAGGTCGGGGGCTGGTCCTTAGGGAAGAGCCCCATTTGCATTCCTCCAGAGATGCGTATCACTGGCCTTCTGGGTTATCAGAACTGCTATCTGCCTTTCATCCCTACAGGGCTGGGCAATTTGAGCAAAAAGATCATGTAAGAATCTTCATATCCCCCCTAAGGCCTGACAGAGTAGAACCCCAAAAACGGTTGAATGGATGAATACGTGAATTAAGAAATGGATGTGTGTGAGAGCATTCCCAGGCAGAATTTTCCATTTTCTACCTCAAAAAGATGGGATTTGTCCTGTTATTAAAGCTCCTCCTCCTGACCCTTAAGAGATTCCAGAGGCTAGTAACCTTCAGAGTCAAGAGGATAATTTTTCTTTGTCTAATCTCGTTTCTCTGGAGGTAACTTCAGTGCATTTTCTTTTCAGCGACCTCCCTCCATAGCCACTGGGACTGAAATGTATTTCTTTGTGAGGAGACAATTACTAATTTACCCTTTAGCCTTCTCGGCAACAAATTTGATCCCGGGCCCTTTATTGTTCCTGCCCTGGGGCCCAGCCCTTTCCCTGTTCCACTGCTCCTCGGGCTGTTTGCCAAGCTCTCAAAGGCCTCCTGGGCTGTAGAGGTGGCTGTAGAGGTAGGAATGAGACATTCTGTTCTCCTCATGTGCAAGCACACAGATGCTTACACACCCACCACAGGACACACACCTCCCTGCACCCACAATCCCCAGTCCTCGGTGAACACATGCTCACAGGCAGCTCCCATTCACCGCCATAGACTCTTCTCCTCCACCTGAGCCCTAGTCCCGGGTATTCTCACACCTGGACACACGCTCACAGGTGCAGGAACAAGCCGCACAGACCTGCTGTGAGCCAAACTGGGTGGAGCTGCCGAAGCCCTCCCTCGTCCTCCCCCTCCAACTCTCCTTTCCCTTGGCCACAAAGGGCCGGGCCTACTTTCTCTCCACCTCCACAGTGATTTTCCACTTCGAGGCTGAAGGCAAGGAGTCAATGAGCCAAAGTTGGCTCCTCTCTCTTCCTCCCGCCCTCCTCCCACCGACTCCAAATCCTCAGTGCACCTTGCATTTGCCCAGAGCAACACCCCACTCTCCATCCCCTTCCCAGCCTCCCCTCCTCTGGCTGAAGGGAGCACTGGCTTCTGGGGTTCTTACCTTTTGGAAATGAACATGGGGAAGCACTGGAAGCTGACAGACAGGAGGGCTGCTGGGACCCTGGCCTGGCAGGGCAGTGTGTCACCAGCCCAGGGGACTCAGGCACAGAGCAGTGTGATACTCATTCAACACCTTTTGTCACCCTCATCCCCCGCTGCCCCTGTTCTTGCTGAGCCTAGAACGGCACAGATTTAGCCAGGTTGACCTCGGCTCAGATCCCTGTCCCCCCACTTTACGTGTCCTTGGGCAAATGTCTTGCCCTAAGACCCAGTGTGCTCATCTGGAAACAAAAGGAGGAAATACAGTAACATCCACCTCCTATTGTCAGAATCCACTGGTAGAAGACTGGTTCTCTCTTGCCTCTGTACCATGCTGTGTCTCATGAACTTGTGAGGCAGGTGGCCAATAATTCAGCTATAACTGAATCAGGGAAGGGTGCAAATAGGTTGCTTTTTTAGTATCAATATCCGTGAATTCAATGCTTTTTCTGTAATGACATCACTCTCCTTCAGAGCATTCCACAAACCTTCCCTGAATGGGAGATAAAGGGGGTGGAGAGAGGGCCAATCCCTGGGAACCTGCACACAGGCGGCGGCCTATCTTATCTTTGCCCAAGGAGAAGATATTTGCAGTCAGCAAGCAAATCCCATCTTCCTGCTGGTGTGGTCAGATCAGGCTGAGGCACTGGGCTGGCCACTTCTGCGCAGCCCTGGCAAGGGCTTGCCGCACAGTAGGTGCTTCTTGGCCGGAGTTGGAGAGAGGGCCAATCCCTGGGAACCTGCACACAGGCGGCGGCCTATCTTATCTTTGCCCAAGGAGAAGATATTTGCAGTCAGCAAGCAAATCCCATCTTCCTGCTGGTGTGGTCAGATCAGGCTGAGGCACTGGGCTGGCCACTTCTGCGCAGCCCTGGCAAGGGCTTGCCGCACAGTAGGTGCTTCTTGGCAGAGGGAGCCACAGTGGCGCAGGGGAATGGTGGGAGAAAGGCACAATGCGGAGAGGAGGGCGTCCCCTCCTAAGGAAACAGATCCGGGGAAGTAGAAAGGGGGGAAGAGACAATGCGGACCAGGCCCCTGGGCTGGCTGATTGGGGTGGCACCTGATGTGGGAGGCTGGCCCAGGGTCTCTCAACACAGGGTCTGATGGGAAGGCCATGGAGTAGAAACACCAGGGGTTAGAAACTAAGGGTGGAACATTCATGCCTGGGGGAGGGCCAGGAGCTCAGAACAGCCTGACCCCAAACCTGACCATCGTGGTCCACGGCTCCGCGCCTAGAAGGGAAGCTTGCTGCCAGTCTCGCCCAGCATGCAGCTCACAAGTTCATGGGATCGACCAACAAGGCTTCCTCCTTCCAGCTACCACCACCAACTCCCAGCTCATTCCCCAGCTCACCAGCTCTTCATCATGGAAACCCTGCCTGGGGCCTCAAGCTAGTCTGGCCACCTGGCCCCAGGCCTGCAAGAGTGGCCTCCCCCTTAGACTTGCCAGTACCCAGGGCTGTACCAGCCACCAGCCCCACCCTCCTGCAGTGCCTGAGAAGTTACTGGCTGGCAGGACTGCCCAGTTCCTTGGGTAGGTCAAGGCCCCGCTCTGTGGACACTGCCCACATACCCTGCATGATGGTTCTCAGCCCAAGAGGAGTTGAGAGGGCCTGTCCCTTCTCAACCCCAACCTCCCTCACCTAAACCAAAAGGAAAAGTTGAAAGAAATCAAAGATGAGGGTGAGGACTGCAACCTTTCACTCAAAACCTCCCCATATTCTTCAGTCTTGCACTTCCCCCCCAGTCCCTCTCCAACAGTTTGCTCAGGGGCCCAGACACAGCCAGCCAGAGTCCATCCAAAAAAAGGGAGATTCTTTATTCAAAATCAGCACTCAGATTCTTCAAGCCCCAGCCCAGAGGGGGCAGCCCTCCCTCCCCTCTCCCCTCACCCCACCCGAGCCAACGCGAGGGGAATGGAAAATGAGAAGCCAAGAGGGCCTCTGCCAGGGCAGGCTGCCTCCAGTGTGTGGTGAGCCCAGTCCAGCTGCGGCAGGGTGGCAGCTGCCACCGACCCCTCCCTATAAATTAAGTCTCTGCAGCCACAGCTGTGGGGAGGCGTATTTGTGGAAGGGAGGCCCAAAGGCTGCGTCGCTGACCCCAGGCCTGGAATGGATTGAGAGGTCAGGGGAGGAGAGGTATGAAGGAGGAGGAAGACGCCCTAAATTTTGGTCCCGGGGGAAAAGAGGAGGCCAGTTGGTCCAGTTTCTGTGTGTTTGGAGAAGGGAATGTATTAGTAAGCACAGGGGGAGAGGCCGCCATGGGGCACCCCCAGAGGAGATGCGCCAGGCCAGGCCCTCCCCCTGGCAGAGAGGAGCCTGAGGGCTCCAGGGGCTCTTGGGAATGTCACTGCTAAAATATATATTTATATATATTAACCATCCAAGGAAGGGCAGGAGCGGGGCGGGGAGCGGATCAGAGGATCTGGCGTGGCATCCCATAGCCGGTCATGCCCGCCTGAGACGCCCCGCGGTTGGTGCCCATCTGTAACCCAATCACGTTCTTGCCCTCTTGCAGCTGGTTGTCTGAGAAGTTCCGGGGGTTCTCCTTGGACTTCCTGGGTGGAGAGGGAGGGCTGGTTAGGAGGAGGTTGAGGCTGCCCCAGTCATATCCTCCCTTTGCCAGCTCTGCCCTTGAGCCTTGAGCTCTCTGAAGCCACCTCCTCACTCTCCAATGGGAGTCCCGGGCCAGAGGATGAAGTAAATGAAGGTGAAAGTACTTTGCACACGGCCAGCTGCTAGAATGGGACAGGAATGGGCAGGGTGACCACGCCTGCCCAGGCCTGGGCAGCCCCAGCCATATATACTCACTTAGGAAACCAGTTGGGGTCCCCAGAGAAAAGGCCATCATCCCGGGCTACTGCCAGCCCACCCAGGTTCATCAGCGTCCGCTGCACGCAGGCCATGTTCTTTCCTGGGAAGGAGAAGGGGGTGTTGGCCTCAGCAGAGCTGGGGTCCTGAATGCCAGGGTTCCACCTCTATCACTAAGTCAGCAGGCCCAGCTTCCAAATTCTTTTCCTCTTCACCCCCACACCTTTTTCCATCCCAGCCCCCAACATGGTCAGCTCCCATAAGACACACACACGTGCGAGGGCACACATGTGCAAGGGCATACACTTGCAAGGACAGACACGTGCGAGTGCATACACGTGTGAGGACAGACACGTGTGAGCGTGCACACATGCGAGCACATACATGTGCGAGCTCATACGTGTGCGAGGGCACACACGTGCGAGCACATACACGTTCGAGGGCACACATGTGGGAGCTCACACACGCCTACTCCACCACACCCCTCTTTGTCCTCAGAATGCCAGAAACCTGCCCCTTCCCCCTGGTCAAGATGGCCCAGCCCGGTCTCTGGTCCCCTGGATGACAGCGCTGTGGCCCTGGCCCACCTTCCCAGAGGTCCATCTGGAAGATGCCGCCATGGGGCACCCCCAGAGGAGATGCGCCAGGCCAGGCCCTCCCCCTGGCAGAGAGGAGCCTGAGGGCTCCAGGGGCTCTTGGGAATGTCACTGCTAAAATATATATTTATATATATTAACCATCCAAGGAAGGGCAGGAGCAGGGCTGGGAGTGGATCAGAGGATCTGGCGTGGCATCCCATAGCTGGTCATGCCTGCCTGAGACGCCCCTCGGTTGGTGCCCATCTGTAACCCAATCACGTTCTTGCCCTCTTGCAGCTGGTTGTCTGAGAAGTTCCGGGGGTTCTCCTTGGACTTCTCAGGAAACCAGTTGGGATCAGGCTCTGCCCAGGCCGGGCTTCTGAGGCCAGAGTGAAAACCTCGATATTTTAATATCAACAGTTCTTTCCTTTGAGTACCTGGTGTCATCTAGGGCCTTCACGGCGAGGCCCATTCACACACACACACACACACACACCCCTTCACTCAGAGGGAGGGAAGCGTGCACCCTCTCCAGGCTCAGGAAGAAGTCGGGTCGGGTAAGCCCTCCTTCTTCAGGTGAAACAACCCCAGTCCCCAGACCCGGCCCTGCTCTCCCAGCACTTCCGGTCCGAGGGGCCCAGCTCTCACCGTGCCATCCTTGAGCCAGTTCTGGAAGTTCTCCCGCCCGGGCTGGGGCCGGCCCACATCCTTGCGGCACTGGGTGGTGATCCACTGGATCAGGATCTGCTCCAGGTCTGCATCGTACTGTTTCTCAATCTTCTGCTGCACCTCGCGGCTCAGACCGTAGGCGGGTCCCCTGTTGGCCATTCTGAAGGGTGGTGGTGGCTGTGGGGAGCGTCGGGCGGGCAGGAGAACGCGCACTGCGGCCGGGGCTGCAGGGTGAGTCAGGTCATGTTTTCTTATCCGTTCAGCTACCCTATGTCTTTTGTTTGGAGCATTTAATCCATTTACATTTAAGGTTAATATTGATAGGTACTTGTTTGTTGCCATTTTTATTCTTTATGCCTGTGTTCCTTCTTCCCTTCTGATTTCTGCCTGCAAGGACACACATCATACCCCCATGGAGGCCCCCAGAGGTGAGAACAGCTGCCAAATGAGGGAACTCTCATCTTGAGCCCTGAACATGGGCTAGAACAGCACTGCTCCGAACCCTGGCCACACAGGCCACCTTGGGTTCCCACCCCTGTGACATGCAGTCTGTTTATCATTAAGGCTTCCACTAAGTTTCATTTAAGTGGCTCCACTACTGCCCTAGCCGGCTTGGCTAAGTGGATAGGGCGTCAGCCTGCAGACTGAAGGGTCGCAGGTTTGATTCTGGTCAAGGGCATATGCCTGGGTTGCGGGCTCGATCCCCAGTAGGGGACATGCAGGAGGCAGCCAATCAATGATTCTCTCTCATCATTGATGTTTCTCTCTCT